TGAGAGGGTAAAGTTGGAAAAACCAACATCTGAATGGTTGAGTGGAGCTCTAGGTGCAAAATGGTTAAGAGGATATTGTAACCATTAAGAGGTTGTTATTTTTTTGCCAAACAGCTTCTGTCTCTTAGCGATTAAGAGGCTCCCTCTTAATGTCACCATTAAGAGGGAAACAAACAGCCCCTTAAAAACACATAAAATCGTATTATAACATCGACTAAGACAAATAATAAAATAAAACATTAAAATCGAGATGTGTCTTGCTGCATTGCGCGAGTATTCTTCTAGTTATATTTAAAGTTAGATGTTTATCATGTATTTGATTATGTTTATCTGTAGTTAGTTACACGAATTTAGACGTGGAGCTCTAATAAGTTGTACTTACGCACAATCTACTTATAATCTTGAATTTTAAGTAAAATGCATCAATAGACAATACTTTATGCATAAAAAATACTTTTAAATAGTTTTTATCAAATGTTTTATAATATAGTATATATATATATATATATATATGTGTGTGTGTGTGTGTGTGTGTGTGTTACAATGTGTTTGTTTTATATCTATTTATTTCATAATGTGAACATTTTTAATATATTTGTGAAACAAAAGTTACAGGTAAAAAAATTTCATATTGTAAACCGAATATATATTAAATAGATATATGTTTATCAATATATTAAATGATAGACTTAGATGAAAAAGATCATGCGAACAATATTTTAAGGTAAAAGTTCTCATAGTTATCACAATATATGAAGTTTTTAAATAATTAAACTTTATATCTAATTACTGCAATTTAACGGTACAATAATTAGCATTTGGTCTGAATTTAAGTTTCATATTCAAAACAAAGCTAAATCATTGATACAAATAATATTCAAATACTGAAGCCCATTAAAATGATTGTTAACAATTCAACTTTTAAGCAATAAGAATATCTTTAAATATACCTTTTATATCATATTTATTACAGTTGATTATTTGGTTGTTTAATATCAGATCTCAAAAAACACGCAATACCCTATTAAGACCATTACCAACAAAATTTATGTAATTTTTCTAAAATAAACAAGTAAAATCAATCTTAAGAAAAAATACTGAACTCTGAGATTTCGCTCATTTATAGATTTTAACATTAATTATAAAATTGAAATATTTAATACAATTAATATTTTTTTCAACAATTTTTTTATAAATTAACAAATTATATTATCTTTTGAAAATAAATTTTGCAAATTAAAAAAATATTAATGTATGTATTCCGACTCTCATCCGGAATTAATTTTGCATATTTCTCCAAGGTTTAATGTGAAAAACTAGTTGTTAGCTAATAAGTCGATCATAGCTGAAAAATTAAAGCAGATAAGCTAATTGAAAAAATGTAAAATAAAAAAAAAAGTTTAAAAAAATAGTCAACTCTAAAATTATAAAATATAATCAATATTGATAATATAAAATTTTAACTAATATAAAAAACATATGGTTGAATAAAATAATATAATCTATACAATATTACAAAGCATTTGACAAAAATTCTTAAAAACTATTTTTTATATATAAAGTACTATTTATTAATACATATTACTTAAAACTCAAGATTACAAGTAGATTATACGTATATACAACTTATTAAAGCTTCATATTTGAATTCGTGTAACTAACTACAGATAAACATATCAAATACAGAATAAACATCTCATTTTAAATATAAAAAATTTAAAATATAATTAGGATAATTATTGAGTTCTAACAGAATACTTAATTACTATCTTTATAAAATGTTATATTATTAAACCAAGAATAAATTATCTCATTATTAAACTTAAATTAAACTATGATAAAAAAAAAAAAATTAAATAAAAAATAAAAACTTTTAAATAGTTGATTTGATATTGATATTTTTTTTCAAATTTTCATGATATCTTCAAATTTATATTTTATTCAAAAATAAAATCATTATTGTTTTCTTAAAAACACGTAATCTATACTATATTATAAAGTATTTGACAAAAACTCTTAAAACCACTTTTTATGTGTAAAGTACTGTTTATTAATCTATATTACTTAAAATCAAGATTGCAAGTAAATATATATATATACTAGAAGAGTACTCGCGCAATGCAGCGAGATACATCGTGTTTTTAATATTTCAT